AACTAACTAGTATAAACTAATAAAATATAATAATAATAACTATAAAAAAGAAAGAAAAAGAAAATTCTATTACAGTAGATGTAAACAATGCCAATCTTTTGGAGAGGGTAAGCCAAAATGCTTACTTTTTATCAAAAAATTTTGGTAGAACTGGCACAAAATGACAAAGAGAGAAAGACCTCTTAATACTACTTAAAGAAAAGTAAGTTACTAGAAACAACAGAAATAGTCTTTCTTTCAGCCAGAACTGTGCTACTCACATTTTGTCAGTGAGTGATAAACTCTAAACTTGTTAGCAGATAGCATATGAGAACTATTTTTAAATAACAAGTGCTGGGTGATAAACTCTAAGCCTATCAGCAGGTAGCATATAAGAACTACCTCTAAACAACAAGTGCTGACTTACAGTCTCTCTTTTCACATCTTATATAGTTTGGCTAGTCAGTTTTTACTGTTTTTGTTAAAAAGTTTTTTTGGTAAGATTTGGTTCAAGTGATCGTTAGAAAGAGTGTATAATTAATTTTTTTTAATTTTTTTGTATTCTGTTAAAGTTATTATAAATTTATACCACTTAAGCTAGTTTGTATTTTTTTTGTATTATATAAATATTTTAGAATCTTTTAGATACTTATATGTTCTAATATAATTTAAACTACAAGTTCTATAATCTAATATATTACAGAAATAATTATAGTTGGTATAATATAAATTAAATTTAAATTTTTATTATTATAAGAATTAAAACTTGTAGTTACTACTTGAATAGCTAAACTGCTATATTAGATTATTATACCTTTCTAATTTTAATTTAATTTATTTTTAATTTTAATTTTAATCTAACTATAAAATTTTTTTTACTATATATATTAGCAAATTTAAAAGTAGTGTTTATATTTAAATTAAATATTATTTGGTTATCTATAGATATTTAGATATTCAAATTATAATCATGACTACTCAGATAGACATATTTGAATAAATATACAGTTAGGCTACCTAAATAAATATATTCAAGTAAATATCTAGTTAGATTATCTAGATTAGGCTATTCAAGTTAAACTATCTAAGTTAGGCTCTATGAGCTAACCTAGTATAGTTGTCCTTCTCTATAATTATGCTGTTTGTTTGACACAAAAGTGTGATTATAAATGAGGGTGATTATATAGTGTTTATCCTATATAATCATATAACTAAATAATGCATATGTAGTGTGACTATATAAGAGTAAATATTTAATATATTTTTTAAACTCAAATAGTAAATAATCCTAAATAATTATACTAATATTTATATATTTGTGCTAAAATAAATTTAAAAAAAAACTTTTCTAGCTATAATTCTTAATTTAATTCGATATAATAATATAAAATACAGTTAATATAATGCTTATAGAATATTAAATATATATAGTATACAAGAATTCAATATAATTTAAAGTATATATTTAAACAATTTAGAACTCTTACAAGCTTTTGCTAAAAATTTGCATCCTTAATAACAAATTCACAATTAGAAGTTTTAATGAAAAAAGAATATCTGCTAGTGCATTTAAAATTGTAATGATTTTACTAAAAATTTTTTTAGAAACCTATAATACCTGACATAAATACCAACTCTAACTTTAATTTTAATCTCTTATAGTTTAAAAATTGTTTGCTAAATGAATTCAAAGGGTGTTCTCATACATCAACCTAGATGCGATTTCATAGTGATCGAAATAGTGCACAAGTATTGTTATAACATTTTGAATAAACTCAATAATATGAATAATAATATTATTGAGATATAATTAAATATTACTTGTAATGATGTTTAATTGCGAAGATAGAACAAAATAAAGATCCCAATCACTGCTTGAGAGGATTCTAAATTGTTTATCAAAAATTTTACATCGATAATGAAGTCCATAATAAAAAGTATGAATACACTCAAACAATACTTTATTCACTTTAATATTTATAAAGTTTTAAGTCAGCACAAAAAAAAAAAAAAAGGTGGTTCTAAGCAAAAAATTTTTTTTATCTAAAATGGTAAACTCACTATTTATTTTTTACTATTTAAGATTTTTTTTTTCATATAATAAACTATTATACTTATCTTAACGACAAGCTTGATTGATCAATTAAATATTTTGTAACACATTTTCAACATACTTTGGCTTATTAATTGAGGTACTTGAGAATGCCCAGAATCAACTTTAGATTTGGTTTAAAATTCTCCAATCACTGTTGGAATTAATTAATAACTTGCCAGCAAAAGACCTAGTATGAACAGCAAGTACTCCACAACTAACAGCTACTGTTATATCAGGTGCAGGTTCACAGAAAGTATATTCTCATATTACTTTGCATAATTCGATTTCGATTTTTTAAGAAAAAATTTTTTTTCTTTTTTTACCTTTTTATTAATTTCAACATATTATATTGGGGTTTTAAAAATAAGTAGCATATTCAAAATAAATATGAATTTCAATAGCATTTTTATTATATTGAATTATAAATTGGAAAAATAAAGAAGAATAAAATAAGATTCTCTAATTAATTAGTCACACCATCTAGCTTTTTAAATTGATTATACATTAATGCAGTAATATATAATTTTCCACGATCAATTGATCGATCACATAGCATGTGAACAAGACATGAATCAAATATTTCTCTGTACTATTTAATATATGCAATTTCTTTTTTTTTTTTGTTGTTATCTTTTTTTTCCACTATACCTTCTACTAACACAATTCGCTCTCTTACTCCTAAGCTCTAAACTTGATTCCGCCCAGTTAAATTTAAAACCTGATTTTAAGTATGTATATTTAGAATCACTTGAGTGAATTCTTAGTTTATCAAGATTCTATAATCATCACTATATATCAAAATGAACTTTTAATGTTATTTTGGAAATGTTATTAGTTTGGCTTGAAGCTAAGCTCTAGCCATGGCTTTGGATTCAAACTAAGAACTTGCAAAGGCCTAACAAATAATTCTTTTGGCTTGTATGGCCTGTAAAATAAAATTCTCAAAATAAAATTTGCTATTTTAAAAGCCTATTCTTGTTACATTTTTTTTTGTTCAAATTTGGTATTTATTTAAGCCTGAGCTGTATTAAGCTATGGATCAAAGATTGACAACCTGCTTCTAACTAGCTTTCAACCAGAAAACCAACTTTCATGTTCTAATATAGAAACTGTGGCTTAAGCATAATACCAGTGCCATAGTCTGAGCTTCGGCTATGGTTTTCCAGCTAAGCAGAGCAATCTAAGTAAATTGCTAAAAAATTTTGATTAATAGTTATATAAGTAAAAATTAATCAAATTTTTTTAACATTACTTATATTGGTTATTGGATAATCAGATAAAGTCTTAATAAAATGAAACAAAGACCCAAGTCAAATTGATTTTGCAAAGCCTTTACAATAACCTAAAGCTAATGCTCTTGACATATAAATACGATAGATCTTTTATAAAATAGATCTTGTCTGTGACTAAAAGCTAACCTCTCTAAACATAGCATAGTTAATTATGTCTAATTAAATTTCTATTAAAAAAATATACATACTAATTAGCATTAGCTTAAAAAATGCTATTTGTCAACATCATGTAAATAATCCTCACAAAACACAGATACAAATTGTTGAGCATTTTAATACTCAGGAGCAAACCCGAAATCTTGATCATTTAACTATTTCAAAAATTCTAAAGCAAAAAGATAATAGTTAGCTGCTATTGAAAGCCAAAATACTTCTAGTATATTTCGGCATAGAAAAGTAAAATTTTCTATACTAAACCAAGCTATAAAGCTATGAGTCGAACAAATTATTAATAGTAGATTATTTTTAACTGAAGCAATTATTAAAGAAAAGGCTGCATATTTTGACAAGGAGCTTTCATTACCTGAAGACAAGTTAAAGTTCTCTAACGGATGGATAAGACAATTTAAAAAATGTAACAATCTACAAAATTATTGACTATACAGAGAAGCTGGCAGCACACTGGCTGATATCCTTTCAGAATCTTGGCGCAATCTATAAAATATTATGCATTAAATAACGTATTTAATGCGGACGAGACGGGTTTGTTTTTTAAAATGTTCCCAAATTAAACTTTGGCATCTCATTCTCTTCCAGGCTTGAAAAAGGGATGTAAAATTATTATTTAGTCTTAAAATTAGTTTTCTAGATTTTTAAATATTTTGAACAATAATATTTTAGGGTCTACCATCTATTTTGCTTATTTAAATTTATTAACAAATTTAGGATCATACCTGTATTTCTATTCTGCTAGCTTCTAATGCAATTGGTACTGAAAAAACAAAGCTTCTTGTAATTGGAAGTTCTATTGAATCATGAGCCTTAGTTGGTATAAACCATAAGACCTTACCTGTTACATATTGCTCTAATCCCAAAGCATAGATGCAAAGTGACATATTTGAAAAGTAGTTAAAAAATCTCGACAGTCAATTTCGACATGAAAATTAGAGAATTTTGCTCATACTTGATAATGCGACAAGCCATTTTGATCCAAATTCAAATAATTCGAATGATGAACCTAATAACAGCGATCTTGAAGAATCAGCAATTAGATTAAATAATCATGGTTGCGGCCATGGTCATGGCTGCGGTTGTCCAAAGTTAAATAATACCATTCCAGTTAGTCAACGGTGTCAGGGTCATGGTCGTCCAAGGTCAAATAGTACTATTCCAGTTAGTCAACGGGTCGTGGTCGTGGTCATGGTTATTCAAGGTTAAACAATACTACTTCAGTTAATCAATGGGGTTAGCAACGAAGTAAAGGCAAATGTGGTTTAGGTCAGAAAAGTGTATATATACTTTCTAATTTATCTAATTATCGCCTTACAAATATTAGAATTAAATTTTTGTCTTCTCTTATCACATCACATCTTCAACCCATAGACATGGATATTATTAAATGTTTCAAAGCTAAGTATCAAAAAAAATATATCTAGCATATATTAGATCAATTTGAAAGAGATTTAGATATTCAAAATCCAATATAAGCAATTATCATGTAAATTAATTTAATTTTATAATTTAATCATTTTACTCTTTTTTTTTTAATACTCTAGAAATAAAATAAATATTAAAGAGGCTATTGAGTATGTAGCAGCATCATAGGATGAAGTAGACAAGTTGACTATAGTTAATTGCTGAAAAAAATAGGTATTTTGCCAATAGTATTGAATAGTGAGGCTAAAGTTGCTCAAAATGCATTTTTAAAATCAATAGAAAATAAAGAAAATAAAATTAATGAATTAATAATTGACCCTACTAATCCAGCAGTTGCACAAGAAATAAATACTTATAGAGAAGTAAATAATGCGCAAATATCTACAGAAGACAAACTTGACGATCATCAAATTGTTAAAATTGTGCTAGCAAAACAATTAGAATATGAGCAAGGTGATCTGGATGATTCTGATGAAGAGCCTCCAAATATTTTAGCCTTAGAAGGACTAAATAGACTAAAAAACTTTATTTTGTTTATTGAACAACAGATAAGTAATGATTTTGATAAAAAAGACTTGAAAATATTTTGAAAATACTTACTATTGTTACAGAGTAAAGCCTTTTTAATTTACTCTATAATGACAACACGGCACAGGGAATCCTTTCGTAGGTATATGCGGTGTCTAAGAGGTAATTATAGCTTCTTTTCTCTTTGAGAAACTATACCCTTCTCTAAGGCAGTTCGTGGGGAAATACAATAACAATAATAACT